GAGGGAGTATATATTGCACACACAAAATTAATAATAATTTATAAGATTCATTATTATATCGAATAGGACAAATTAAATTTGTAAATAATGCAGGTGGTGAAAATGATGTTGGAAATAGGCGTCTGATATAAAAAAAAACAAGATGGCATGGACTCGGGTGGGAATTTGTCCGATAGTTTTTTTTGTCTTTCTTGATAAAATTATTAAAATGAAAGGGGTATAAAGAAAATTTGGAGGAGCTTTTGAGCTTATAATTAAATTAAAAGGGTTAGTAAAATCGTTTCGTACCGATTATTCAATAAAAATAATATCGTTGGAGTTTAAATTGATAGATAATTTTTTTGGTATAAATCCGACACTAAATATCATATCATTCACTTTTCTAACACAGTTTTTGGTGCCGTTTTGTGAATTAGTTTTGGTGCGTAATATAAAGAATGGCTTGAAGTGGAAGGCACTCATTTTTATTTCAGGATTCTTTTTTGGGATGGAAACATGAACTGATTTGTATAAATATGAGAAAGGGATGCATTGATGCTGGCAGGGTCGTGAGAGTGGCTTACACCTAGTTGAGTAAATTGACATGAACAAGAACAACTATATTGATGATGATAGGTCATAGAAAAAAATGACATAAAAAGTTGCCCACTTTAATCATGGTACAGAGTCCGGTCGCGATGTTTTCAAACTCGCAAGTGATATTCTTTAAAATGAAAAATAGAGAGTCGGGAGAGTCTAGATTATACAATTGATATCTTTCTTATATCATCATCACAAATTAAATCAAACAATTTTTTTTACAGGTGGTGTCAGTTTGACAGTTTCGAAAGCCGTATCGTGACGTGTATTAGTTTCTGAATAATTATATTTTCCAAGTATTTAGGTTTTGAGGCAAGTTGAACATGGTTGGGCAAGCTACCTCTGTCGGTAGCTAGATTGACACCTACAAATCTACAACTAACCATTTTTGGACAAAAGTATCACCTTTTTTTTAAGATTTCAGGATGAAATTCGATATTTGTGCACCGTGCACGAGTAGAATATTTAATTTTATGTCGGTATAAACAAGTATATATAATTTGACTTTTAGAGTGGAAAGATAACAAATCTTAAGGTATAGTGGGAAGAAGAGTAAGTTTTATTCACTATACCATAAGATTAGGAAGATGCCTTTGAGGTTCTAATTCATGTATACTTATTATGGAGGCTAGCTATAGCTAGTTAGGTCATAATCAAGATTCCCCAACTTTCAAGGTGATTGGCAGCCCAGAAAATCTTGGGCCTCACTCTCACACCTTACTAATCTGAAAAGAATTCAATCTGATTTACTGATCCTGTAACTCATATATGTCTGTAATAATGTCAACTCATAATTTATAGTTATCACAAATAGATTCCGATGAACGACTTTAATCTGTAACCCAATGGTGAATGGAAAAGGGTTGACATGGGAGAGGAATTTATGTACAATACCAATAAGTAATCAAGGCTTTTTTCCCGATTGGTTGGTAATGGAGGAAAAAAAAAGCAAGCAAAGTCGAAAAGACCAAATGGGGGAAGGAAAATAGTCTAAGAGTTTCTCACATTCGAGAGTAGGGCTGATTCTGGAGGAAGTTCATTAGCTTTTTTCGTTCTCCAGGTCAGTTTCATGTCATTTTGTCCCTCGGAGTTTAGATAGAGTTGTTCACTTAATGACAAAACATACTCTTTTATTGAAGTATGGTTATACACGAACTATCGCATTTGGTTATCGTCAGTTGTGTAATCTTGTTGCTCGACCATCCCCTTGAGCTTATCTTGGATAAAAAAAAATGGAGTAGTAACCAAGGCACATTAGGTTAGGTTAGGTTAGATGAATATAGGTATTTTGGTACCCTTGCCAAAAGGGGGATGAATTGATTCATTGCCCATGAGGTGAGTGGGCTTAGCTAGTGGAGAGTGGAGCAAACAAAATATGTTGAAGGGTGGGAGCTTCCTCATTGAATAATTTGACCCACCACCGCTTCCCTACAAAACATTTCTATGTGCTTCCATCATTATTTTCTTTCTTTTCATCAATTTACACCTATTTATGTCACATTGATCATGATAATAGAAGACATTACATTAATTCCCATTTTTGTCTAGTTCCCACCTCTATTTTGTCTCCTTGTGATGGTGGCTTGTTCAACTTACAAGCTCCCCTTGCTAGAGGTAAGATATACTAGATGTCAAAGTAACTTAACCACCACCCACTTATAACCGTCTACATCCACTTAGTTCCATCGCACTTTAACTATATCGTCAAGGATTTTGATCACTGCTCATAAGTATAGAAGTTATCCCATGAACAATCGTTTACCGTTTCGGAAACCACTTATAAAGACGTGCTAGAGATCGTTACTGGCCGTAGAAATCCCGATAAACATATAAAAAATCGACCGTCACATTATATCATATCCTGATTTAGGGGTTTCATTTCACAAATCCCATCGCACGTGTCTTGTTTGTAAAGTTGATTATAGATAGGCATAATTATGAACTATAAGATCATATGAGATGAGCCTCACCACTTTAATGATGATTAGGCGCGCGAAATCATTGTGTGACCTAAACCCACAAAGAGATTCAGAAAAAGTTTTACTGTGTAATCGAATTGCAAAGAAAAGCATGAAGAAGAGAACAAAGAAACAAAGCTAGTGGTGGGGCTTTTTTTTGCCAAATGTGAAAATGTGTGGGGCAAAAAATGTAACGTTTGGAAATGAATGGGGAAGATTTGTTCGTATAACTCTATTATGTGTGTAACGTGACAAGAAGCATGGTACCCAATTGACAACATTTGTTTTTTTTGTTTTTTGGTGGATAGAAGAAGGATCCAATTGTACTTTGATCAGACAAATGTGTTGAATCATTGAAGGAATGGAGGGACCAAAATGGCAGCCATGTCACCATTTTGGAAGATTCTCATTGGCCCAATAGTTGTCTTGTATCTCTATCTCGTGTTCTTTTGCTATGAACTTGGACCTATGTCTTGTTGATGGAATGTGGAATCACAATTCACCAGCTCTTTTTCTTTCTCTTGTCATCTCTGTCCCGACAAAAGTTGGATGGAAAAAAGAGCAAAGAAGGTTTAATGAGAATTGAGACCATTACCGAAAGAAAAATTGGATGACTTCCCCCACGAAGAGACAAATTCCGAGTGTCTTTTTGTAATCTGCCACTTGTCATGGAATAGTTGGTGCATAGATAAATTAGGTACAATTTGTCCTATCTCAATGCAATCCTTCTTGGGAGTACTTTCTACAACTTTGGTTAGAAATGCAGAATGACTCTATAAGGTTTGTGAAAGAACTGGGGATCACGATTAGGGTTCTTAGCTGGGAGGTAGTTATGTAGCGGGTTGAGAGTTGAGAATAGAATTAGGGATTTGATGAGTCAAACAAGGGAATTTGAGATGAGAAAGAAGTAGAGGTTGGTTCCTGGGAGAGGGGAGGCCGACGACAATAAACTACGGAAAAGGAAGAATTTCGGCTAGATGAGAGAAAAAGAGATAATTGTAGGGAATAATTATTGTGTTATTGTTTGTCCTCTAATTCTCTCATATAAAATCGAATATATATAATCTGACTAATTCCCTATAGCAACCAGAACAATAAATCAGAATAAATAACCCTCAATAGTTTCCAAAATGGGTAAATGACACATTTGGTCACTGAGATTACTAAATCGTGTCATATTTAGTCACTAGAAAAATTTAATATCAATTTTGGTTAGGGGTGGGATTCGGTCGGTAAACAATTTACCGTTTACCGAATTTACCGGTTTCGGTATACCGAAGTTGGTCAAACTGGTTACCGATTACCGATACTGGTTTGTAATCGGTTTACCGATTACCGAATTACCGGTAAACGGTAACAAACCGGTATTACCAAAATACCGTGAGAAGCGATTTCGGGCGATTTTTTCGGTCGGTTTACCGAATATTTACCGAACCGAATTTCTGGAAGTGGGGTGATGTTGTAATATTTTGATTTTTTTGAGTTTTTTTCATCATTTTTGTAATTAATAATTTATTATTAACTCTTATTTACAATATTTTTTAGGCCTATACTTACATTCATGTATGTAATATTTTATATTTGTGAATAATGATGTAATATTTTTCATAATAAAGCAACAAAACGCAGCGCAGCACTAGGGAGTAGGAAGGGGGGATTCGGTATCGGTGATACCAATTTACCGTCGGTATTTACCGATACCGTGTCCGGTAAACCGACTCCCCCAACTTCCCACTCGGCTACCGATACCGCCGGTAAACGGTTTACCGTTTACCGCCGGTTACCGGTTCGGTAAAACGGTAAACCGTTTACCGGATTACCGTTTACCACCCCTAATTTTGGTCACTCGAATTACTGACACAGGTCACATTTGGTCACCCTTCTGTAGCCTCTGTCCAACTCCGGTCACTCGAATTATTGAAAAATGTCACATTTAGTCACTCGTATTACTGAAACATGTCACATTTAGTCACTCTCCCAAAAGTTTTCGTCCAACTACATTAATGGAGTTGGACGGAAACTGACGGGAGAGTGACTAAATTTGACCAGTTTTGATAATTCGAGTGACCAAAATTGATATTAATTTTTTCTAGTGACTAAACATGACACAATTTAATAATCTCAGTGACCAAATGTGTCATTTACCCTTCCACCTAACATCCAAATATCTTAAATAAGAAATAAAGGACAAATGAGTCCAAAATAATCGGTTTCTGACAGTTTGGGTACTTTCTTGTTAACGAGACAAAATGAACAAATTCATAAAGAGATGAGAAAAATGGAAGAAACTACAAGAGATGGATAAAATTACGTGACTTGATTAAGATTTTTTTAGCTGCATACGACTTCTTAAGAGAATGATATGACCTAATTTCATGTATTAATGGTAGTAAAACAATCACAAGCATCGAGCCAATAGAAATATGTAAAAAAGATAAGAGATAAAGTATCCATATCATGGTACAAAATTTTAGTGCATACATCCTTCTTCATCGGCTAAACACAAAATCTCGAATATTAAGAACAATGTGAATACTGAATAGCAAGAGCAATCACCACTCCTAAGTCTTTGCATACATTGTAAAGCAAAATTCTAATTTTCCAGCTCATGGTGAAAACAAAGATCACTGCGAACAGTGTTGTTGGTCTGCAATTGCACATCTCTTGGTGTAAAAAGCCCTTCTCCATCAATATAATACCCATCTTCAGCATTTGATTTTTGAGTTTCGCACACCAAAAAAGGACAATGTTGCAATAACTGCTTGTGAATCACAAACGTCTCGAGTCCAGAACACTCCGATCCATGCAGAAGGCTATAAACTAACCAAATCCAGACATCCCTCTTTGGAAGAGGTTTCCACTCATACTAACCAAAACTAGTTCCACCAACTTACACCTCCATCCACAGACACTCGAAGCAGGGAGATTCGATCTAACCCAAAACCACAACGTCCCGTGTGCTCATCAGCCTTCAAAAAAGTTAGTTGATCTTTGCCCTTGAGAAATCCATCTCTGGATGCTGGAATAACCAAAACCGATTACCACCAGGTTAGCAGCTAGGCGAGAATAAAGGTACTGGGAAAGCTTAGAGATTAGAGGTTTAATATTTGGCAGACTCACCTCGGCCATAAACTTCTTCAGAATATCCTGTTTCTGAATCTCATCGCTGGTTGGGCGGCCCATCTGCTTCTGCCTTTGATCAAACTGCAAGTATTGTTATGCACGAAAGACTAGTTAGAGTTTATCGAAGAACAGTGCTTCCTAATTCCTATTCAGAAATAGCACTCCCGTGATCACAACAGAGATTAGAGAGGGACTGGCATGTGGTTGACCACAGGATTATAGGGGTGGAGTAACGAATTAAAAGGGCACGGATAATTTACCATCATCTTCTCGACAGTCTGGCGTGTTTCAGGGTCCAGGTCAGCAAGCTTGCTGTTTTCAGGTTCAACCTTTTGTGTATCGATTTCAGGACCTCCTTTCACCAGAGATTTCCACCATTCCATTTGGTCGTGCTTGGTCAACAGAACTGAGATAGTGTTCTGATCCTCTGTAGACACCATAAAACTTAAATTAAGCAAACATGCTGAAGTGCAAGCAGCCATTTATAGCACCAAAGTACATATGTACATAAATGCCGTCACACACATACACACTCGACACAGGCTAACCAAGTTAAAAAACAGCACAAATATATTACTTTGGGACATTTGGCTACCTTTACTAATTCTCCTCTCTACATGCAGGGCAATGAACCTAATGGATCCATCGACTATAACTGGAGAAATAAGCCAACATAGACAGATAGGCAAAGGCCTGGTTGCAAGTATTTCAACAAAGACGAGGGTACGAGCCACTTTGATACTATTATTATCAGTGCAAGCCATGACACCTTCAGTATGCATACAATGGAAGCATAGCAAGCAAGTGATTCAACGGCTAAAAGCTCAGAAGGACATAGGGGATTGAAAAGTTCAACAGACCTATGCTCCAGTAACAATCATCAACCTTGATAGGCTTGTAGAGTTCCCCCTGCAATATTCAAAAATTAGAGGAGTTGCAGAATGCAAAAAGGAAAACTATGCTCAAGTTTCCATTTATTAAGATTCTACCTCAAGAATTGGAGGCTGACCCTTGAGTCCGATTTTCAGGTGGTTCTTCTTTATGTCACAGACTACGAATCTTGACTTAGTCCCATGAGGAACGGGAACCAGCACGGTAACCTCTTGCAGAGTCTGAGTCCATGAGTAGTTGTCCAGATCAAGTCCATTGCCCTTATTTGGGACTGTCGAAGTCATAACAAAGCACGACAAGTCAAGCCAAATACAAGCAGAATCAAGAAAGATACAAATCTTCGTAACCCAAGGCATACAATATGAAATGAAGTACAGAAGAAATTCTTGACAGCAGAACAGAAGAGATTGTCTCCAGACACAACAGACAACTTCCCCTACTCTAATCAAGCCACAAAGGAACTATAATGGCATGCCTATATCGTCCTATGTTCAACCATTTTAGCTAGGCAGTCCTCGAATTCAATTCACAAACAGAGAAGTTTCACGAAGCAGCAAAATGCAGACTAAACACACACACACACTGTCATAACCCTGAATCAAAAGTCCGCGTAACGAAAACAACGATTTTTACCTCTGGCGCCCTTCTCTTCCTCCTTCTCGGGCTTCTTCTTCTTCTCTTTCTCTTCCTCCTTCAATCTCTTGTTGCTCTCGGCAGCCTTAGCAGCGGCGGCCGCCTTCTCTCTTTCCGCCGCCTCCTCCTTCCTTTTTCGCTTCTCCTTGGCAGCCTTCACCACCGCCGCGATCTCCTTCTCCGCCGCGTCCTTGGAGAGGTAGTCGCTCTCCGCGGCCAGGAAGTCGAAGAGTTTCTCCACGATCCCTAGCGGATTGCTGGGATCGAAAGTGGCCGTGAAAGTCGAAGGCTGCGCAGGCGGCGAGGAGGCAGCCGACGACGAGGGCTTCGTCCCGCTCTCTTCTTCCTCGTACTCGGAGATCAACGCCATGGCTGATTCCCTTCGCTTACCTCGATTGACTGCGCCGACGAGGGTTTAGCGATGTAGGCGGGAGAGATGAAGAGTGATTTGTTCTAGTGGTTTAGTAAGGAAATGCAAGGAAGCTCAAGATGTGGAGCATTCCAGAAGGCTTCTCTTTTGTGGAGAGAGCAAGTGAGTAACTATTTCATTTTACCCGCTAATTGCTTGTGGGCCTGATATACCAAATATAAAGCCCAGTTATTTCGATCCAGAGACATTAAAACGAAAAAAGAAAGGAAAAGGAAATTTCGATCTCTTCGTTATCAGTAGTTCCTCCTCTCCCGCCTAAGTTAGGTTGGTTACATACTTACATTACATCCGTATGTCGAGCTACGGCCATGGCGACCGGGAACTGCACCACGGTTTGCCATTCGCTGCTAATCCCACGAAACGTCGTCGAATAAGTTCAGACGGAAACCCTCCACCCCCTCCGATCAGCAAACTCGGGGACGATCTCCTCGTCGAAATTCTCATTCGCGGCCTCCTAAACCCTAGATTCGCCTGCCGAAGCAAACTCGTCTGCAAGCAGTGGAGCTCCCTGATCTCCAGTTCCTGCTTCAACCGCCGTTTCGTTGCTCGCCATCAGAGCAAGGAAGAAACGCCGCCATCCATCTCGGGCTTTCTCCCTGTGCCCGGTGAAGTTAGACGGTCGTTGTGGGTTTTGGATTCCTTCGAGGACTTGCTGCTATGCGGGTTTGCCGGGTTCGATAGAAACACCAATGGCGAACTTGGTCTATCATACCTCATCTGCAATCCGTTTACAAAGCAGTGGATCGCCCTGCCTTTAGCGCCTGAAAAGTCATTTGAGCAGTGCCCTGAAGTGGTTGCCAGGTTAGTTTGTGAACCCCGTATCTCTAAAAATCTTGATCTAGGCGATGGCCAAGCAGCATTTGTTTACTCCGAGTATCGGTTCCGGGTGGTGTGTATATATACATTGGGGATGTCAACGATGCTAGACGTGTTTTGTTCCGAATCTGGAGAATGGACCAAGAAGGCTCTCGTTCTTCATGGTTATCAAGAAGAGGTTCGACTGAAGCCAAAGTCCTGCCACGGGAAGCTGTTTTGGGCCTATGCCGCCCTGTTGCATGTTGGTATTGTTGAGTTCAATCCTTTCCACTTCGATATACCTCCTGTATTTATTCATGACGATTCGATCTTCGAGAGACCTGCTAAATCGTGGGGGTTTTCAGTCTCACATGGTGCTTTGCATCTAATTCAACTCGAAACTGAAACTACACCTGGTTGTTCAAGGAATGCCCTGATTGTTTGGAGATTGGAAGATGACCGGAGATCTTGGAAGAGACAACATGAAGTCTTGCTGAAGACAATGTGGCATGGTGATGTGCCCTGCAACATTGAATTTGATCTGCATCCAGAGAATCCAGAAACTGCCTTGTTAATACTTGGTCATTATAGTGGTAGGATCTTCTCCTGCGATTTGAGGAGCGGAGAGCTAGAGCAACTAATCACTACGAGAAGAGCTTATGAGCGTGGTTGGATGCTGTTCCGGCATAGGTTTTCTTGCTGGCCTACTCCGATTCCAAGTTACAAGGAATTGCGAGGTTTATATGATGGAAGCTACAGCTGTTGGGTTCAACAGAGCAGCGATGAAGCTAAAACTCCCTCAGCAACAGGTAACTACTTCTACTAGTGAGAATTTATTTTCCAGTAGATGTGTATCTGCTAGGGTTTAGGTGTCCACTAAATGAAAAGAAGGAAGTCTGAAAGAAAATTTTCCTTAGTGAACATCCTTCATAAAATCTAGTCTCCCCTGATAGGATAACGGGAGCAGTCTCCTGGCTTGCTTACTAGTTACTTCCTCCATTAACATTCTATATTATGTAGCACATGTATGCATGCCTCTCTTTTGTAATAAGTGATAATTTTGTCGTGCTTGCAAACACTTCACCCTAGCTTGTAATACGAAGTCATGTACAGGGAAGTGTTATGTATATTCTCTCTAGTTTTCGTTCTATTTTCTGGTTCCTAATCTTGTGTCTGCTATTTTTATCCAGAGGATGGTTTAGTTGCTGCACCAACACAACGATACCAATCAGTTGATGGGATTGAACAATCTGGTCATCAGAGGAAAGACAACATATCTCAGCTAGGTAATCTGGAAACTTTTACTGCTGATACTCTTTGTCACTCAAATTAGAGTCTCGTGGCTTACTAAGTAGTTTGTTCTCAATCTTGTGCCAAAGAGACCAAAGGTGTAGAAACCCAATGTGTGGGAAGAAAAAAAAAACTATTAGCTAAGGAAAATCAATGGTACATCTAGTTTTGCTTCGTTTATCTATGCAGCAGAATTCCAGCCGTAGCTTGTTTGATGATCAGATATCGAAATCGAGCTGGTTCAACAATTTTTCTTGACCTATCTATCACTATGATTATCTATATTGTTTCTATACAATTATGTTCAAGTTCGACAACATAATAATTGCACAAGGCTTATCGTAAAACCGTAATAATTCTGATCTCCCTTTTTTCTTAATTGTGTTTTCAGTAATAGATGGACTTGGACTTGAACAGGCTCGCCAAGAGGTTCAGGATCTACAGTCCCGCCTGGAGAATGTAAACAGGGCCATTGTTCAGCTGCAAGCGTCTACAGTTTCGGCATCGACAAACAAGGATCTGAAGCTGTTGCATAAAAAGAAACGCAGAGTTAGTTCAGATTTGCTAACGGCCACAGCAAACTGCGAGATGATATCTCGTCTCCATCAAAATCTTCCCTTGGATCCTATGCACATTTCGATTCCTGGTGTTGGTGAGCTAATCGTGCCACCTGAAGATCATGATGAATGGTGATGGTGGTTGTTAGGGCACTCTGCAATTGTAGAGGTGGCAATTAGGATCCAAATCCATGAATCCAATCCAATCCATCCACCAAATTAATCACCTAATCCAATCAATTTGATCCAAATTCAATTGGATTGGTAGATTCATGGATCAATCCATGGATCCAAATGACAAATTACGATTTGGTACCTATATTTTTTATATTTTACATTTTGGTATCTAAAAATTATATTTTTATATAAAAAATATCATTGGAAAATTACATTTTGGTACATAAAATTTTTCATTATGACATTTTAGTACCAAAACGTTATGTGCATTGAACGTACACAGTACACACAATGGCCGATCAATTACTCAAGAAAAAGGCAGTCCCGCAAATTTCGTTTATTAATTAGGTGCCGGAAAAGAAGCTGCAAACAAACGGCCGACGATCTTTTTGCCGTCTTGAAAACTTGCCACAAAAACATATATCTAAACCTTCACGTAAAGTAAGTAAACAACAATGTCTCGGAGATAAAAGTTAGCGTATTATATAAAAATCTAATTTGGTAGCCCGCCGTCAGCTGTCCATCTCTTTGCTTCTTTCTCTCCTCTTCTCTCATACGTTTGGAACAATGTAACCTGTCACGATAATAAGCAAAATTTCAACACACACAAAACAACAGAAAAGATTAATGAAGTTAGTCTGTTGAAAATTGACATCAGATAATTGAATCTAATTAACGATAATATATATCAACGACTCAAATCATTAACCATTTATTTCATTACGTAAGAAATTATATGCAATTTGCAACTCGTATTAATCTTAGACCGCGTTGTATTGACCTGTAATAAAACACGTATTGATCGATCCAACCAAATTGATATGTGATATGTTATAACTAGGTTAAAAAAATCCTACTATAAAAATGCTTCATTTTTAGGCGACCAAGAACTCGATCTCGCGATTTAAACCGTTAGTCTTCGAACTTGAGGTTCCAAATACGAATCTCTTTCAGTAGCACCTAATATTAAAAACTAAACATGTAGGTATTGTTTGACGTAAATAAATCATTAGTTTCTTACTCGCGCATTTGGTGCCGGGGCGAACAGTCTTGCCGCAGGAGGCGAAGACGCCGACCACCTTCCCGACGTCGACGAGGTCCTCCATGTCCCTCGTGATGTACGAGCACAGGCACGGCAGCAGCTTCGCCTTCCGGACGGCGTCGCAGCACTCCGCCGACGGCTCGTCGAGCGACGCACCCGTCTTCGAGATCAGCCTCGCGCACCGCCGGATCACGTTCCTCGACTGCTCGTGGACGCACGACGACGTGGACGTCGACGTGGACGACGACGGAGACGACGATGATGTCGACGTGGACGACGACGGAGACGAAGGCCGGGTGCAGGTCGTGACCCTGACGGCGGCGGCGCGGCGGATGTTGTTGTCGGAGTGGAATATGAGGAGAAAGGAAAGCAAGAGCGCGGAGATGAGGAAGGGAGAAGTACTGAAGCTGCTGGCGGCCATATTGATGATAAGTTTTGATTACGAAGAGGAGGGCGTAGTGATTAGAGAGATATAATTTGTTAATGGTGTGTTTATGTGATTATTATGATTCTTATGAATTACGTGTGTATATTTATATGGTGGGAGTAAGGATTAATGACTGATTAAATAATTGATTACTAGAAATCAAGAGGCGTTGGTGGTAGTTTAATTTGGCGTGAAGGGGGGCTTCATGTAAAGGGTAATCCGATATCGATGGCTAGGTGATGAATGTGAGGAAGTTTAATTTGTGAATGGTCGTCTTTGCATGTTCCTCTTGGAATTTTTAGTTTTACCATACTACCTTTTTTTTTCACTCTTAAGATATTTAATTTAGATTTAGTACTTGGGATGAAAGATAGTGAAATGAGAAACGTACATATATATAGTTAGAAATAGAGTAAGTAGTTTGTTGAGGACTTGTATCAAGATGGTTACAAATTAACTCGTTTACAATATAGTGGAAAGTTTATGTATATGCATCATCACATATCAAAATAGCTATAAAAAAATTCGTGCGGGTAATTTAATGGTTTGGTTCAGTGGTATTACCGTTGGTCTTGAATCTGAATGTTGCATGTTCGAATATCTTAAGTAACACTATAACTATAAAAACAAAGTTATATTACCCTTATAAAAATAGTCACTTCGTCTCTTTACAATATAACAAAAAATTGTATGCGTAACTCAGTTAGCTTGTTGATATACTCATTGCTAATAAAAGAAGATCACATACACATAACCAATCGTTAAATCTAGAGGTGGCAATTCTCAATCCAATTAACCAATCCATGAAAAATATCAAACTAATTTAATCCAATTTAATTGGTGGATTCATGGATTGACCCATGGATCCATCTGCAAATTACGGTTTAGTGCCAATACTTTTTATATTTTACATTTTTTGTACCTAAAATTTTCAATATGACATTTAAGTACCTAAACTTTTCACATTTTACATATTGATCCAAGTTTGAGGATGTCATTTGGATTCATTGCTAATCCACCAATCCACTTGCTCCAATCCATGAATCCACCAATCCACTTGATCCAATCCATCAATCCATTTGATCCATGGATCCACCAATCCAATCTACCACAATCCATAAATCCAATTCATTTATCACTTCTAGTTAAACCTATATGTTATCCATAGCAAGCTATTGAGCATTTTTTTTATGTGAATACGACAGAAAGACACAAAATGATCCCGGATCGACCGAATTGGTACGGAAGTTGCAACATGAGAGCAAACCGCAAAAAAAATCTTGATCATCCAATGTGCGATAGGCCATGTTCGTTAGAACTATGATATGTCTTGTGACACTTTAGTTGACGTTTGTAATAATTTGTTACTCACAAAAACTTATGTAATCATTTTAATCAATTGCCCGTTTCAATTACGCATTATTCCAAAAAAAAAAAAAATTTAACGAATAGAATAGAATCTTTTTTATTGGCTCAATAGTTTGACAGACTAACTTTTCATTAACGGATAAGAAATCTTCAATTCAATAGATTAAAACCATAACTTTGCGTTACACAACACTCTAATTTTTACTTCATGCATGTGATCAACGTGCACGTAATTAGTTACGCACATATATATATAGTCACCGACTTATATTATTGTTGATATGACTTGAATCGGATTATCAGCCGCTACGACTGGTAACCGGGGGTCTCAGCAAAGCCCTTAAATACTCCTAGTGCTTCAAATGTTCATCTATCCTCAGCTTATGCACCGCAGTCAGAGGCTGAGAAGGAGTACATGTCGAGAGTCCCATATGCTAGTGCAGTAGGTAGCTTGATGTACGCTATGGTATGCACTAGACCTGATCTTGCACACGCTGTTAGTGTTGTTAGCAGGTTTATGATACAACCTGGGAAGGAGCATTGGCAGGCTGTGAAGAGGATCTTCCGGTACCTTAAGGGTACACCTGATGTGGGGATTAGCTTCGGAAGTGATACAGAGTGCTTGGTGTCTGGGTATTCTGACTCGGACTATGCTGGAGATGTTGACACGAGGAGATCGATGACCGGTTATGTATTCACTCTTGGGAGTTCTGTAGTGAGCTGGAAGGCAACTTTGCAGTCGGCGGTGACATTGTCTACTACTGAGGCAGAGTATATGGCGTTGACAGAAGCTGCTAAGGAGGGAATATGGTTGAAGGGACTGGTTGGTGATCTTGGTCTACATCATGATCAAGCAGTGGTGTATTGCGACAGTTTGAGTGCAATATGCTTGGCCAAGGATCAAGTCCACCATGAGAGGACTAAGCACATCGATGTGAGGTATCATTTCTTGAGGACAGAGAAGAGGATTAAGGTGAAGAAGGTTGGCACCGCGGATAATCCTGCTGACATGTTCACGAAGCCGGTTCCACATGGCAAGTTCCAACACTGCTTGGACTTGCTGAATGTCTTGAGTGGGTGACTCCGCCCTGCGGGGCATTGATGGCGGGAGAGAGAGAAGGAGCAGAGTACATCAAAGATTTTAGAGGAAGAGGATTCAAGTCAATGTGGAGATTTGTTGATATGACTTGAATCGGATTATCAGCCGCTACGACATATACTCTGCCACGGTGTATGGGCTCAATGTTATTTGGGTTCGGGTTCTGGGCCTGGTCTGTAACCGTTTCCTTTGCTAGATTGGATTAGGTTTAGACCCACATGGAGAAGTACTATAAATACTTCTCATACTCCTCTGTAATCTGTAATCTCCTCAGTATAGTGAAACGGCTCTCTCTCGCCCGTGGACTAGCTAACACACATCGTGTTAGTGAACCACGTAAATCGTGTGTCTGTGTTCTTTCGATTCTCGCTCTCGTATTCTTGCTTTGTCGATTCCGGCGATTTCCCGATCCGTAGCAGCGCGTTTATAACATATTATATTACGTAGCAATAACGATAATCCACGACGCGACGTCGTGTGTAGATATATGATCTTTCATCACGCGGATCCCCCTTCAATTGTTGACGACGAAATCTGACAAACCAAACAAACGAAGAAATGAATGACTGAATGTCATTAATTTTAAGCTGTTTCAAATAAAAATGGTCTCTAGCTATCGATCATAAGAAAATCAAACCCTTTTTTTTTTCTTTTTTTCAGATTTGTATATTTGATCACGTATGTACGTTTACGTACCGCCGCACTTGGTGCCCTTGGGGATGGAGAGGCCGCACTTCCTGCCGACGTAGACGACGTGGTTCATGTCCAGCAGCGACTGCACCTCGGCGGTGAGGAGCTTCCTGCACGCGCAGCCGACGTCGGCGCCCTCGATGTCTTTACAGCACGGCGGCGAGGGGTCCTGCTGCTCCGACCCTTTCCACACGTAGTCCTTGCAGTCGGTCGCCACGTCGGGGATGTTGACCCCGCACGCGTTTTCGTCGTCGTCGGCTAGCGTCGTAATTGCCAGGAGAAGAAGCAGCAGTAGAGCCGCCGCCGCCGCCAGAACGACGCCGGATAAGGACGAGGAGGAGGACTTCCCGGTTATAGCCATCTTTTTTTTTTCCTGAGCAGTTGGTGGATTGTGTTGTTAAATTAATTTGGGTTTGTTTGTTTGTTTGTTTGATTGATTGTAGGGATTTTATAGCGGAGAGGGTCTGGTGAAACGGGACGAGCGGCGTGTTGATGATGAGGGTGCGTAGTTGATTAGGGTATTTAATTTGGTCACGAAGATGGAATTGGTTTGGATTAATTACTTGGGAGAATCGGGTGAAATTTGTATAGGATGGAATTAGTGATGAAGAAGATAAGAAGAGAATGGAAGGTGGTGGTGGCTGAAAATTTTGGGTTTCAAATTATACTTTGATGGTGGAAACTAACGGGGGAGTGACCAAATGTGACATGTTTCAGTAATTCGAGTGATCAAAATTTATATTAATTTTTTTTTAGTGATTAAACATGACACGATTTAGTCATTTTAGTGACCAAATGTGGCATTTACCTGTTTAAAATAATAATGGATGGATGATGATTTAGTGTTAAAAAAATATGACGGACAAGAAGAAAAATAAAAAAAAAATGTATCTAGTTAGACATCAGATCTGCAAATATCTTGTATATTTTATTTTTCATATATGAACTGTTTTTTATTTATTAGGGTATTTATGAAAAAGAATATAACACGTATTTTTTCTTTCCCTTAATTTTTTCGGCTTAAATCGTATGTTGTGAAAAGTCGTTGAAATTTTTACCAAAAAAAAAAAAAAGTCGTTGAAATTCGAGGACTTGACAATTCTTTAATAAAGATGTACGTTTCCATCAAATACCAAATGAGTCGAAGGTGCTTCTTTTTTATTATTTTTGGTTTGCGATTGAACTATGAAGTACGGAAGTACCCACAACTATAATTGCAAAAAGAAAAGGAGGAAAACAATAAGCCAGGCTACAAAAAAATGTCGAATGCAGCACCTAAAAGGTACAAAACAACACCTCAAAAAGATATGGAGATCCTATGTTCGAGTCCCTAAGTAATACTTTAATTATAAAAAAAATGAAATTTATGTCACCTTTATAAAAAAAAAACACCTAAAAAAAGAACAACAATGTTTTGTTAATTAAATTATGAATCTTTTTATGATGGAGAAATCATTGTGAATTTGCGACCACTCTTAATATTGCACCAGAAATCATTGTGAATTTGCGACCACTCTTAATATTCCACCAATCTCCTGTCACTGCCAAGAAAGGCTGAGCTATATAACCTGCAACCATAACAATCATATATCATTATTAACAAAATTGAATTATACGAGTTTTAAAACAGATGAGTTCGATATATACACAATTGTTTTTTACATTGCACAAATATTCGAATATAAACATCGTTAATTCACAAATATTTTGAAACAAACATACGTGATTCCAATCATATTATAGATTATAGATTTTATACATGGACTTACTTCCACATTTCATTCCAGCTTTGACATGTTCGTGCGTACACATGGACTTACTCCTTCAGTTACAGCTTTACAACTTACAAGCACCTTTCAGCATGTTCGTGCGTACCTTTCATTAAATCGCAATTCACCCCAAAAGACACCTTCGAATTTACAACACTTCAGCTACCCTAACTAACAATGCACACAATCAGTGAACAGTTGATGTAACAAGTAAATGCAGCATCCATAGCCAAGTTGAAAGCTCGGGATTTCAATTCAACACTATATTTGGATTTGGGTGATATCTACAAAAACGAGTTTTTATCATATGGTGACACAATGCCAACTATAGTCCCTTCCTTACTCTACAACTTCCATTGCAAATTCAAATCCCCCTGAAAATACAATCAAACTGTAGTACTGGTGAAGCCTCCACCCCAAACATTTAGGGGAGACAAATTGCCAGAAGAACTATCAAGAAATGAGGAGGCAAATAATACAAGAGCCTCTAGGGGCCTCAGGTGGCAAAACTCCATCTTGATGGTTTTGTTAGTAAACCCATCCGGTTCCAAATGCTCTCCGTCGGATATCCGAAAGTTGCATCGCGATGGTGTTCTCGTTACAGCGTTAGCGAGTCAGAAGTCCACATCTATCTCTACCTCCCAAGTTAGATTCAGACGGAGAGATCAAGGGTTTCCCTTTCATCCGTCGTCCATAGCAAGCGAAGAATCCGGATTACCATCAGTACTTGCTTCGGTAGGATGGTGAGTGCTGCTATCTAGATGCACTTCCATTGAGCTATTGGCGTCGGCGTTATTTTCTGCATCTCCGGAAATTTGAGGTTTGTCGCTGCTGCTCCTCGTGGTTCCCACCAATGGGCAAGGAGGATGAGTGCTGCCATCTAGATGCACGTCCCTTGAGCTATTGGGGTCGGCGTTATTTTCTGCATCTCCAGAAATTTGAGGTTTGTCGCCGCTGCTCCTCGTGGTTCCCACCAACGGGCAAGGAGGATGAGTGCTGCCATCTAGATGCACTTCCCCTGAGCTATTTGAGTCGGCGTTATTTTCTGCATCTCCGGAGATTTGGGGTTCATCGCTGCTGCTCCTAGTGGTTCCCGCCAATGGGCAAGTAGGAGGGTTCCTTTGCCGACACGAGTGGCAACGGAATCCAATGACCATGTCAATGTTCTCGGGATCAAGCCCAAAAGCATCTCCGTGATACCATACTGCATCAGAGGAACAACAATTTGCATATCAACACAACACCATAATCAACAGTTAAAAGTGGTATTAAGAAGTTGAAACAAGTATATTTTCTGCTCACCGTTGTTAAAACATAGCTTTTCGTTAAGCAAGACTGAAACAAACACGCCAATAATAATGCAGTCAACAGTGTAATGCTATCAAATATGCGGGAGCAAAACCAACTAACCTTCACAAGACTCGCAAGAAATATAATTAGATGTTGATGTACTTGCTTCATCGCACAGACAGCATTTGGGTTGAGGATCCAGTACGCCACCCTGAGAAGCAGAAAAAAACCTAGAATTCCGAAACTGTTCGACTCGTTCGTCCTCTGGCCTAGCAGACAGTAGAAGACCATTAAGCCAGTAACTATGACGAGTAAACGACCTCTTCTTCTGCCAAAGAAGACCCTTTTCCGTTTTCTTCAGGGAAACTTTTTCCAAATTCAGTTGCTTCCCCTTTTCATCCCCAATGACATTTTTGTTTGCAGGTGCTTTGGAAGTGGTTGCCTGCCGAGCTGAGCGACGCAAAGGAACAACTACTGCGGGAGACTTCTCATCATCATCCTTCATACGAGGGGGCCGACCCCTTAAGCTCTTTCGAGGAGTAGCCGCCTTTTGATCGTCCTTAATAAGACGTGGCCTCCCCCTTGGCCTTTTTAATCCTGTTCCAGGAGTAGCCGCTTTTTGATCGTTCTTTATAAGCGGTGGCCGCCCCCTTGGCCTTAAGCCCATCCCAGGAGCCGCCTTTTTGTCATTCTTTATGAGCGGAGGCCGGCCCCTTAAGCCCTTTCTGCCCCTTCTAAGGCGGACTGACCTGCGAGCTATGGATACCTTGGACTTCAACTGCTGAACCTTGGGACTCACGGTGACAATTTTCCTAACTTTTGGGCGACCCTTCCCTGCTTTTTTGCCAATCTTTAAGAGCTTCCCACTCAAGCAACGGTGGCATGTGTATGAACACTTTTCACGACTGGAAGCGCCAGACTTTCTAACATGCCTTTTATGGAAGAAATCTGAAGGAAAGAGAAAAAAAAACCCATAGGCACAAGATGAGAAGAGTAGACGAAGGCAAACTCGAGCATTTAAAAAACCATTGATAAGTGTCTGCTTAGTGCTTACCCTTGCAATATTGACAGCATACAGCCTCACTGTGAAGCAAGCAAAACCGGAAACCAAGAATGGAGTGAGCATCAAGAAAGGATAAAATAAGAATTGCAATAAGGTAACCTATAAACAACATTTAGAAGCTCTCGTAGAGAGGAAAATAGGGTGTTCAGGAAGAATGGGGAAGCTTAACTGGTTAAATTCCCCTACCAAAACGTAGCAATATTTAATGACTTCAGAAATGACACCAAAAGATAACAAAATTATACCTGCTTGGAACATCCTTTTTACAGTGTCCACATTGATGGAACTCAGATTTTTCAGCTCTTGCGAAAAGATAAGAGAATCCTCTTTTCTCTGAGGCTGATTTCGGAGTAGCATTTTCCTCAGATAGTTTTCCAGAACTCGTCTTACTAGATTTCCGTGCAACCCTTTTCTCTTCATAATTTTTCAGCAAATGCAAGGGGACAAGGCTTTCACTCAGCCAATATTTCTTCCTCTCGTTGGAAGATTCTTCAACAACAATAGACCCATATTTAGAAACGACATCAGGGATACTTCTCCTTTGGCCAAAATCAAGAAGATACTTCGTGCCACCTCCCTCAGCAGCAGACTTCCTCCGCACAATCACCTTCTTGAACAGCCTGACTGCCTTTTTATATTCCTTATCTACTGCCGACAATGAATCCCAGTTCTCAATTTCGTCCCACCTGATGTTGGAATCAAGCTCTCTGACCTGCAAACAAGTAAGAAAGCATACTCTTAAATAAAAGTAATTCAAGTTTGATCACTTTACTTCTATAATGAAAGGCAATGCTACATTGAGCAAGAGACTGTCCTATCCCTCAAGGCTTATTAGGATGAATTAAAAAAGTAAAACTACTACAAGGACCAATGCCTCCTAACCCCATATGAGTGTATAAGGGACACATATTCCCAGGTGTATCGTCATTATAGGCGATAGAAAAGGCTGTCAAATGCAACTTGTCGTCCATAAATAGACAGATGGCACAAGAATAAAAATGTAGATCAAACACTTGCGTGACACCTGAAAAGGAAGATAACTTCCTACATATGAGATAAGTGATCAAGAGGACTTTGATGCATCAATTTAACAAACCTGCAAAGCAAGTAGTTCTGCATTTGAAGATGACTCGACAGCAGCTCGCCAAGCAACAGCTTTGCTTCTCTTTACAAAATCTGAACTCTCGGGGTACAATATCCCAGGTATCCTAATGCCACCACCTGCAAAATTATCAAACTTCAAAATAAATTCAGAACAATTACTCGGTTGAGAAAGCTGCAGATACGTAAAACCCCGGATAGAAGAAAGGTTTCAGACCTTGCCTAGCAGCCTTGGACGCCAGGGAGACGGGCAAAACTTTCCAACTAAATAATTTACGTGACATTTTACCACCTCTCCACCAAAACATACACAATCCACTAGTTTTATTTGAAGGACCAGACTCAGGTTCTGCAGAAGACCTGCTGCGCTTCCTGGCAACCCCAGATTTAGATGACATGCGTTGTGCAATCACAATATGAGAAGATGAGCCGAGTACAGCAGAAGAATCTACATGTTTCAACCATTCAGTGGAAATTGCACGTTGATGGATGCTTGACTCTAACTGCTCAAAATAAACCACAACCATTAGTACAACATAATTAAACAGAAGCCACCCAAGATCTTCTTGGGATTGCTTGGGCTCTTACAAGGAATGAATGAACACATTCACTTTGGAATTTCCAAATAAGAAGCATAGAAGGCAAGGGTAACACTGCTTATTCGCCATCATCCAGAACAATATGTACTCCAAAAATTTCAACCCAACCAGAGTTCAGTTGCGAGTAAGCAAACCGTCTAACACTGCTTATTCGCCATCATCCAGTACAATATGTACTCCAAAAAATTTAACCGAACCAGATCTCAGTTGCGAGTAAGCAAACTGTCTACACTACAATATTTTTTACACTAAATATGAAGTAATTAATTCATCCCTTTTACAGGGACAAATATAGAGATAAGTGTGAATCAAATAATCAACTAGAAGTTAAAGAAGAAACCATGAACTATTACCTTCAGGAGTAAACATTTCACAGATGCAATATCTGTTGCTTTGAGTATGTTTTCACGCCAGAGACTGCTATAATTTGGTTTCAGCCATGGACCCAACAGAAGCCCCTGTAACCGATCTTCGAAGGAAATGATGTGTCCTACTACATCCATAAGATGACCATTTTGGTTCCTTTTTGATTGAAGCTTATCAACTTCCCTTGCTGATACATCCATGGAAGGGCCAAAGCTCATAGTAAACAAACAATCCAGATCATCCATTGGAGCCCTGCACAAGAAGCACCACCCACATTTCTCCTTCTGTGCCATTGAATTAGTACTCTGAATATTTGGCCAGCGTAACTTTGGAGCACTTTTCAGAATAATCTTCATCTGAGCCGAAATCATTTCTTCATCTGATTTTGCTGGCCCGTCCACTGTTTTATCTAATGACTTGGGCATCAAGTCTTCTGCAACTCGAGAGGCAGTTTGACCAAAACTGTAGTAATTAATGTAGTTCACAGCAGAGGAATGTGCATTGCTTTCCAGATTTTTACCCACGCAGATAGGATTATTAGACATATCTGCAGATTTTGTAGAACAATCTGGCCCTTCCTTCTGATAATTTTGATTCACTGAACCAATTTGAGTGGTGACAGCTGATCCTTCAGAACTCATATATGTCGGGCTAACAGATTTTGAAGCATCAAGCTGTCCAGAAGACGCAGTACCTTCTGATTTCCTTTCATTAACATTATCATGAACTGCACCCGTCTCAGAGGATGCCAGAGCAAGTGAAGGAATGAATTTGCTCAACTGATGTACAGTACCCAAGCTACCAACAGGGACATCCAAATTCTTAAAGATTGCCTTCACAATGGTACCATAAGACCTACCTGAAGATTTTAGCGCATGAATAACAACATGTAGATCATCTCTGTGGTAATAACTAAACAAGTCACCAGCATCACTTGAATCTGACCTGCAACAATAATAGACAGGTAATTTTACTGCATAAGTCCTGGTCATTTCAGTTTATAAAAACAGCTACAAAGTTATTTTCCACAACTTTTTAAAATACAGCCACATTTCTGACCCAAGAGAAAAAAGAGGTTGTCCACAGAAGACCATCAAAGATATGTAATCTGGTTTAAAACTGTAAAAATAGCTTGAAATCTAAAAAGTACAGGTATAAAATTGCTAATGTCAACAACTCAAATCAAGCATGATGGGTAGAATAAACTTACACCAATAGGTAACCACAGCTGCTAAAATATAGTCGACCATGAGGATCAACTCCCAGCAGTTCTGCTCCACGAACTGCCTTTCGATGTTTCTTGGATGATTTATGACCGTCTATTGCACACTCAGGACAGTACCAATCTCCCTCTGGCAAGGAATCATTAGCAACTCCCACGCACTTTGAATGATATGCTGCAGGGCAACCATCACAGCATATTAAGTTTCCATCCATCTTACAAAGACAACATTCATCAATGTTCCGATCCATTGTATCATCAACAGCCTCCTCAGTCAAGCTAGAACCAACAACAACATCCACAACACCCTTTCTTTTCCTCGAAGATCCAAGGTTATCGTTTCGGTCTAATTCGAGGTCAAGTTCGGCACCTGAAGTCCTTCTGTTTAGCTCTGACCGAATGGCCTCTGTCTCAATCATATCGTCACACAGACGTCTGAGCATGCCAACCTTTACCGACACTGGTTGTCGATAGTAGTCGCATTTGAATAGCTTCAACTCACTAGGATTTAGTCCAGGTTTCGCTCCTGAACTGTGAACTAAAAAGTACTCAACCATAAACAAGGGCCAGGTGATCAAGTCCAAAAGATCCCAGTCAAGGCTCCTACAATCAACAGTTGAAACATAGAAACTACCCATGAACAATAAGCAGAGCTTAAAATGAAAACAACAACAAAAACACCAGGAAAAATGAAGTGACAAAGAAACAACGGACAATACCTGAGGCAGTCAGAAGCAGATTCAGAACCCTCATCTGAAAGATGTTCCAAATGCGTCCTAAGAATTTGTAAAATCGAAAAATGAATGCAATCAAACAACACACTGGGCAAGTTGCTTGTCAGTGCCTCCACAAAATCCTCCAGCTTGAAGGGGCTTATAAACAGTAACGTACTAAATGATCTTAAACATGCATATATTGAGAAGACGTCGAGTGTGTGAATTCCACCCAGATCTATGTTTTTTGAAGAAGGTGGTAGTTGCACTTTTGCAGGAAGAACTACATGTTCTTCTTCCGGTTGATGATACAATTTCCTAGGTGTCTCATCATTTAGTGCACTGACTTCAGCGGGCGCTGATTCAAGGGCCTCTTTTGATGCTACGGTGGTTACAGAATAATTTTTAGCTGATCCCTTTCGTGCACTCCTTCTTAAGACCACTGTTTCTTGGACGGGATCATCTGAATGTTTCCTTCTCTTCCTACGGCTTGTACTCGAATCTTTATATGCACTGCCTACATTGGGCTGGTTCTCATCAATTATAACCCCTCTATCCTCCTTAAGACCATTACTATTAGCAGAGACTGTTGCTAGAGCAAGATTTGTAATGCCTGCAACCTTTCTCCTTCTCCCTCTTCTTCTCGGTCCTTCTTTCTGCACAGTTCCCGCACAAACTTGGTTCCCTTCACTTACAGCATTGGAGTCCACCCTTGCCAGCAAAGAATCGTATTTTATGGAAGTGTCACCAGAAACAGTGTTTGCTTTCCAGACACTTGCAGCTGACACAGCACACAAATTATTAGAGCTGTGATGATTTTTCACTGCCACAAAGTTGGGAAGAGCAAGGACAACCCCATTTACCTCAACCATTCTGCTAGTCTCTAGAGTGTTTTGAGTTTCTTCTTTCACTATATCAAAAGGAGAATCTCCCTTGGGTTGGCCCAGAGAGTATAGATCCTGATCCTCCTTTATCTCCTCGTCTAAACCCATATTCAAATCAAACGGACACTCCTTTCTCAGGGTTTCTACCCCATCGCCTCCAACAGAACTCATTTCCTTCGGGTTCTCGTCCAACTCCCCATTAGCATCTACATTTAAGTCAATGCAACCTCTATCCTTCAAGCCTGTCTCTAAATTTGGGTTTGCATGGTCATCTTCATTCAAGTCGAAAGCTTCCTCATTTAAATTCAAGCTAAAAGCAGCATTCAGATCAAGCTCCGGTTTAACATTAGAGTTCGCATGCAACCTCCCATTTTCACACCCCACAATGATCCCGGAATTCTCCTCCCCACCACACTTCTCCCCTAGGGTTTCATTCAAATCAACTTCAACTCTACCTGAACTACCATTTCCCAGCTCAATCCCTCCCAGAACCGCACCATTCACGTTATCCCGCAAATCAACATTGCTATTCATATCTAAACAACTACCGTTACCTCCAATAGAAACGAAGCTTCCACCTGCGCTCTCCCCGCCATTAGAGACGGCACAGCCTCCCGGTTCAAGATCAACAACTCGGCGGCGCTTCTTCGGTTTGCGCCCAATACGAGACCGGTGGTCAACCACCAACTGACCAGGTCCCACCTTCTGGTCCACCAGCGCCGCCAGCTCCGGGAAATCGAGCTCCTCGGAATCGCCGTCCTCGTAGACGATCTCGAATGAACCGGAGGAGGAGTCGTAGGATTTCACGATTCCGGTGAACATGCCGGAGCCCTTCCTCACATGCCTCCCAACGAACTCCATTTGCTAACTACTCCTTCCCGCTCCTCCAATCGAAGGAGGAGAGAAAAGAAAGGAAAATAAAGAGGCCGAAACAAAAAGAGAGAATACGGGGGGAAATCAATCTAACCGGAGCAATCGAGGAACCAGCTGCCGCTCATCGAGTCCGGATCGGCGGCGGGTCTCCTCCGTCCGGGAATTCGGGCAACGAGGGAGAGAGAGAGAAAATCCCAAAACCAACTGAAACAACCTCTTTCGCGTTCTCTCTCTAGAAACGCTTTTAACATGCAGAGAGGGAGAGAGAGAAAGGGATAGAAAGAAAGAAAAGAAAGGAAGGAGAAGGAGAAGAAAGAGACTGGCTACTGACTGAGACGCTTCCTACTTTCCTATTTTCCATTTCCTTTCTTCCGGACTCTACTCTACTGTAAGAAAATAATAATTAATAAAAGAGATAATGGCCAAAATGGGAAGAAAAGAAAGTGCGGGAGGAGTGGGGGTCGCGGGGGCAGTTTATTTCGTTCCCGATAAATTCTTTTTGACTCAAGTTTATTACCTTAAATGTTATTCACTATAATCATTTTATTCCATTCGTAATCACTTAAATTAAGTTAACAATTCAAGTTTGGTCACTGGTTATTAGTCTCAGTTAATTTTTACTGATGTGCCGGTCAAATTTTATAGTTGACCATTAAATTCTAGACCTGACAATTAAAAATAATAAATTAATAAATTTTAATTATTTAAAATTTCCACCTTATTTTCACATTCATTAAAAAATAAATAAATTTATTTTATTTTATTCTAATCTAATATGACCCAACTTCACCCCTCTGAACTTGTTCGTCACAACTTGTTCGTAAATATCCTCTCAACATCACCCCAAGGCGAAAAGGCATTGACGTAACCAGTGGCGGACCCAGGATTGTCGGAGATGTGTGTCGCCGATAAAATAAAATAATAATAATAATAATTAAATAAAAAAATTAAGTATAAATTTAAAAAAAATTAATTCATAAAGTTCACAATGTCATATTTACAACGAATCACGATGACTTTTTATCTGCTGAAATGTCTCTAAAATACATTAATCACTTATACTGCAAAGAAAATCTTTTTCAATATACACAACTAAACAATCATTCATAAATTGGTCACTCAACCGATTTCGAAGATCATTCTTGATTATCTTCAAAGCTAAAAATGTTTTTTCGCAGCTTGTCGTTGCAACAGGTAATGATGGGGAGTTAGTGGCCGCCTGGGCTATTGACCATTAGGCCTGTGGGTTTTTTTTCTCTTTTAATTATAGGCTGACGCCCAACACACATCACACATGTATATTGTATGGGCTGAGAGTTTTTTTTTTTTAATAGGAATTGATAGGATTATGATTTATGAGTTATTTTAAACAAAATTAAAAAGGATTATGATTAAGATTGATTTATTCGGATAATAAATTCTTCGAGTATAATGAAGGTGTGTCGGCTATAATTATTGAAGGTGTGTCGGCTATCTCGAAATAAAAAAATTTGTACCAAAAATATGTAGGTCCTTCACAAAATTCTCGAGCGAGGGTGTGTCGTCTGCAACTGGACGTAACAGTCGCTGCAACGGCCCTCCGGCCGCCGTGTCTTCGTCATCCTCTCTCCTCAGCTCTTACTCCTCTTCCCCTGTTTTGTACACTCCTTCGCGCTATGTCTTCTCATCGGCGTCCTCCTCCTCCTCTTCACCAAAGATTTATAGGTCTAGCCTGTTTGTCGGAGCCAGAAATGTTGCGCCATAGAACGGTGCCGCCCGTGTTCGATTAGTTTTCATCGATACTCTGAAATCCAGTGACACTTTCGCCCAGAGAAAGTTTATAACCTAGCTGCGGAGGCACTAGGGTTTGAGTGAAGAAGAAGAGCCGAGAGTGTGGGAATCGGCGGATTGCCCTTTTCCATTTCATAGATCAATTTATATACAAGTGCTTAATTACAGAGAAAGTAAAGCTACTGTACGATCTTGTTGGTAGCCTTTTTATCTGCACGATGAACACTTAAAAGGTAATGGCACTTGCACCCATTTTACCAACAAAAGAAACGCAAAATGCAGGTTTATAAATTAAGGTGCAAACAGCCGTTAAGACCGATCATCAATAGACAGCTCACAAGCTCGAATTCAAGGCTCCTTGACAAACTCAAACTATCGACATATTTTTCGAACGTTTTGGTACCGTATAAGGATTACAACAAAGAGATCCATTCCAGCTCATTCAGATGCAAGCTCGATTATGGGTCGCCGCAAACCGGAATATACTGCTCTTCGGAAAAGAGGGTGGACATCTTGGGTTAGAACCTCGGCGTCTAACTTCTCAATGTGCGACCAAACCTACCAAACAAAATCAGAGTTGATTAGGGTTTTGTGTTCCTCAACGTTTGGCAGTGGCACTAGGAATACTGATTTTTGTTATATTGAATTCTTAGGCAGCGAGAAAACTGTGGAGAGAGAGACCATGGTGGCGAGCCAAGAAAAGCAGCACAGTGACATGCAGAATCAGCAGTTTTGCATACGATTGAGATGAGCACCTAAACAGGAAAGGGGTTGGTCATATTTTTACCTCGGAGGCGTATTGCCTGGAGAAGGACTTGATGTAGCCTAGAGTTGATAAACACCACTGCTCCTTTTCACCTATGTTGTAGACATTGCTGCTACCGCTCTCACCATTCGACTGGCTGCTAAGAGTACAATAGAAAAATGCCCCCCCGGTCAAGCTATTTGATTCACAAAAGCAATCGTCGAAAGGAAATGGAATGCTTGGAAGGGAAAACTGACCTTTTCTTAGTTCCCCCATTCTCATCATCTACTTCCATGGTTGATGGCTGATCAGTATCAACAGCCATCTCGTCGGCTTGAGTTGACGACTTCAAGTCTCGTAATGTTTGAGCTTTGGATGCATCAGGCAGCCTCTCTTTCAACACATTGGAGAAGTTTTTGTACAAAGCAAGGAACAATTCCTAAATCCCCAATCATGGTTGGCAAAGAATGTCAAGCACCAGCATTAGTAAGTCGGAAGAAAGTGGGAAGAGATGGGTATTAATCTTTCAAATGATGTTATTACCTCGTTTTCAACTGTGGCTCGTGCAAGCAGAGCCTCCTTAGCGTCCAAAGAGTCCCGCACAGATTCTTCCTCTTCTTTGGCTTTGTCAGCATGTGATTTCAACCGCTTCATCTTCACAGGGTTATCACCCATAACAGGCTCTCCATTCATCAAAGTAAGCTTAGACTCAGCGGCATCTAACTCTGCTTTTGCCCTGGCTGCAGCTTCCTCAGCAACTAGAACATTCTTCTTGAGAGACACCACCTCCTTCCTCAAATCTGACATACGGTTATAAGTCTTGCTAATTGCATTCCCCAGAATCTGCAAAAAGTTACGACAATGAGATATATGAAATAAAACACACTTCTTTCATAAACAGCTTTATGGATGTGTTTGTTTTGGCAAAGACTAATGCACTTACATCAAACTAACTTTCCAAAATAACTATTCACCCAAAACTAACTTTCTAAATAAATTCTTATGTGGTGAGACAAAGTTTGATACCAACTCTGAAACATCTAAACCAGACGCCAATTAGTTCTAATAGAGGCTCAATTTTAAGGACTAATCAAAATTACCTCCCATGGGCGATCAGAGATATGAAATTGCTCTATATTTGGTGGAGAAAAGACCCATTTTATGATGGCCAAATTAGACAGCAGGCGATATCCCATCATTCGATCGATTGCTAAGGCTGTCATCTGGGTGCTGTTCTCCCAGTAGGAACTCACTTCAGCAATCAGCAAGATCTGGTTGTCGAGGTCTGGACAGAGTCGCGTGATGACTTGGCCATACCTCTCCAGAACAGTAATCAAGTGTGTGAAGCTCTTAGAACCAATGTCAAGAAGAGTTTGTACAATCACTGAGAGTGTCGACTCAAAGCCATGGGCGGGTAAAACCGTTTCCTCGATCCACGTGATTACTTCTCGGGCAGTTGCCCTCCCCTTCACCTTGTTGCTGAGTTCAGCGGAGATTGCATGATATTCTGTTTTCTCTCTTCCATCTTCGACACTATACTTGAAGTTGGGACTGCCTTTGGGCGGAAGCAACTCTTCTAAAGCAGGTGTGTTCTCAATGCTCTGATAAAGAGGAGTTTATGATAATATAAGTAGCTAGCAATCGCGGGTGACAATTTCACCCTTTCTCCATCTTTTATTCATGGAAAGGGAATGTTAGGGACAATTTTCACTGCCGATTCAATATCTCCATCCATGAAGAAAGGAAGTGATAAAGTGCATATGGATAAATAGTCTATTCCACTGTCAGTGATGCAGAATATGCTTGCTAATTACCTGCTTAATCTTTTCCCAGTAAGAGAGACGCACTTCTCTCTCCAAAACCTCCTGGACAAACACGCGCTGGGGCGCCCATTTAGGAAGGTCAAGAACATATGCCCATTCTTCCCATGGCCAGATGAACTGGAAGTTTGACCTACAAAACCAATATACCCAAAATTTGTCAGCATGCATCAGTACAGGAGAACAAATAAAGTCCACTAGTAATTCAGGTTTCATGAATACAAACAACTGGTAGGCTTACAAATGGTGGGAAAACCAGAGGATGAGTCGATTGCGGCACTCCATATCTAAATCAGCAATCTTCTCGAAAAGAGCACGGACAGCTCCAGCTACAACGGCAGGAAATGCCCCAGGCAGAGCCTAATTGTCACAACTCAAGATCAGAGTGTTTTGAAGTATGACACCATTTTCTTAAAAGAGGCTTCAGGCGGTAACTAATCAACTCATGCTCACCTTACAGAGGTCCATGATAACCAATGTGTAATACAATGGTCTGAATGGAGGTTGTGGAAGCAAGAGTAACTGCAAAAGAGCACCAATATTAATTTATAGGCTGTGGGACAACCAAAGAAATAAATAAACAAGTTAAAACAAAAGAGCACCAATATCAATTTCCAGTGCACTATAGAGGAGTGTACACCACTATTATGAGCCAAAAACCCCCGTAAACCTATCCCTAGTTAGGACAACAAGGATGCAACATAGTGATATCATGATTTATCACTCTCAAGTGCCTAAAAACTAAGCTTTCCCGTACAACAAATCTGTAGGAAAATCTATCAAAGACGTCGGCAGATGAAATGAAAGAGATTTCCATTGTTGACTTAAATGATGAGCCATCCTCTGATAAATTACAGAGAAAGCACAAATTTCTAGATACACTTTGAAGAACAGGCGCAAAGAAGATACTAACCTGCGCAAAAAGAGT